CGGAGCCATAAGACGCCCCCGCAAGAGGCCCCGAAGAGAACACCCTAAGAACCTGCGGCCTAGAGATGACTTTGATCTGACGCTTTAATCTCTTGGCCGCCCTCGCAGCCTTGGCGATGCGCATTTTAGACTTCACCGAGCGCCCTGCCACTCTAAGCGCGCGGCCAGCCGTGTAGTCAACGCCTAAGTTGACAGCACTAGACGTAAAATTGCCTCCTAGATGCGAAATTTCGACAGAAACCTCCTCCCCCAGGGCCTTCGAAGAAGCAACCGCAGCAGTCTTGTCCAGGGCCAGGGAACAACCGAAACAAGCCTCAACGATACCATGGAGCGCCTTAGCCCCAGCGACGATCGATTCGACCACGGTCCGATGTTGGCCCGTACACGAGAGCCCCTGGTCGTCGATATACACGTCGAGGTCGAGCCTGGGGATGGCAGGAAGAGAGTCGTACCCGTCCCGGCAAAAAAACCCGAATGAACGTGGTGGCCATCGAGCAGCCTGCGATGACCCCATTCTGGCAGAAGTAGGGGCCTTCCAGCCACCCTCCTAGGCAGAGAAAGCGCCCACACCTGTGGGCATAAATGCACAGACGGGCAATCGCAAGAGGGAATCCATGTTTCTTGCAGCGGACCTCCAGCTCTTTCAGACTAATGTTCTCATAAAACTTGCGAAGATCGAGCAGAACCGAACATGAGGACTCCCCGATGGCAAGACCCGTCTCGGCGGTGACCGCTTGACGCCAAACCACATCGGCTGCTCCTCGAAATCTACCAGCAGCCCAGTACCGTTTGGGGTGTTCTTGCTCCCAGTTCAAAGCAAAGGGCCGCCGGCAGCGGCCCCAAACTCTGAACCAGGAGCAGAACACCCCAATCGGTCTGTAGCCACCAGTGGGCTTCGGCAGAAGCGCCAACGTGACAACAGAGATCTGCGGAGGAAGGCAGCCTAGCGCTTCCATGATCGAAAAAATGGCGCTGAGGCAATCGAGCGCAGCATCTGGCAACAACGAAAAATGCTTGCAGTGAAATCCGTCCACAGCCACAGCCGAATAATCTTTGTAGGACTTAGAGATATCACGGATTTCGCTGGCCGTGGGTCGAGGAAGAGGCTCGAGGACCTGACCCTCAAATTCGGCCCCCCGACCTTCACCCCATATGCTGCTGAACCTCTCTCCCTCCGCCTTGAGCAGGGAGAGAGGATCGCTGACGACGCAACCTGAAGCAGCGAGAGTCGAAGAAGGGACCCAAGGAACAGGATCTTTAATGCACTGATGAACCCTTTTTGCCCCCTTATTGATGCCAACGTGCAGCCATGCTGCCCAGTCAGCTCGGCTCTTGGCGGCGTACTTGGCGCTGGCGGCCTTGGCGGCCTCGTGAACCTGAGTGTGCAAATCAGCGAGAGACTCAACATCCCCACCAGAGCCAAAGGCGGAGACCTCCTGAGCCGCACGCTTGAACAGCGGCTCGTAGTCATCCACGGCGGCCGAGATGCTGGGCGGGGGCTCCACCAACGCGCAACTGAGCCTGGCAGCGGTGGCAGCAGCGCCTCCGCGCCGAGCGTGCATGAAGGCGCGAAGCTGTTGCCCGAGCCAACGGATCGCGCGATGACCAGGATAGCGCACCTTCCCGTCCTGGCCCAGGGTAGATTTCCACACAAGTTGAGGACCCAAACCCCTGGAACCTAACTTGGGAGGGGCAACGCCCACCAAAGGAATGAGGTCACGCTCCGCGTGGTCAGCCCACTTCCTGTAGAGCGGACCCAAAAGACGTTTGGCCCCCTGACCGTCACCATTCTGGAGACAACGTTCAGCCTCTGACGCCAGCGCAAGTTCCCCAGCCCAACGACTTTCCCTGGGGGCAGGGCCGAAAACCACTTGGCAAGGCAAGGGGGGGGGCTTCCTGAAAGAGAGAGCGTGAAGCGCCGCCAGCTTGGGATGGAAAACCAACTGGACGGGCCTATGGGGGGAGAGCTCCGTATCCAATCTCGTATCGGCCGGCTTGAGACCCTTAGCAAGACCGCCCGAACAAACGAAGAAGTCAAAAGTCGTGGGAGGGCCCGCAGGATAGTGCGTCGCAACAAGGGGGAAGTTGAGGGAGGCCCTCAACTCAGACACAAAACTTGAAGACTCGAGCTCAGCAGGCTCCAAGTTAAAATCGGCACCGACCACCTACGGCTGGCCAGCGGTCGACAGTTGCTCGCCTAGCCTCGCAAGCAACGAAATATTACCATCGCTGAGGCCTTCTGAGTGGTGAAGGTAGGCAGAGGCAACCATGATGGGGGGGGGTCCCAGGGAGGTGCGCGGAGCACGCGATGCATCGCCCAGGCGTAGTGATGGCACCCTCGACCTCCAGAAGCCCCAGCCAAGAGCGCACGAAAATGGCAACACCCCCACTCGTGTCCTGCGCTTGGGTGGGGATAGCAGGGGCCCAAACCGACTTCCATCCATGCCTTATGCACCAAGCACTGGCCTGCTCGATGTCCTCCTTGGAAATCAGACGGTGCTCCTGACCGAGCACAATGAGGGCAGAACAATCTTCGAGCAGACCCTTCAACGTACCCCACGAGTTGGCATTAATGGTCCGAATCGTGAGTGGCACCAAACAGTCAGAGTTAGAAACCGATAGCTGCTCGCTGCCGACGAGAGGAGCAGGCACAGGCAATCTGACATTACTGATAGAGTGCGCTGACGACTTGAAATCATCAGAGGGGTGTTGCACCCTCTGAGAACCCAAGGGTTCGAATTTGCCCTTGGAATGTCCTGACTTAAAATCTCCGAGAGCGACGAGCTCAACGTGGGGACGAGATCCCCCCTCCATGGGGGGGCAAACAGGAGTGGCCACGCGCGGGACAGCCCCGTCAGTGGCATCCTTGCGCGCTGGCTTACCAAGGGAGTGAACAGGATACAAAACCCTCGGCACCGCGAAATCAAGCAAAGAAACATGGGCACAGTCTGGCGTCAGATCAGCCTTGCGACGAAGCGAATCCCTCTTGCGGAGGAGGGCAGCTTGCGCTGCTGAGCGGAAATCAGCGTGCCGAAATACTAAACGAGCTTCAAGCCCCCCCCTGGAGGCAGCCTTCCGAGCGAAGGACCTGCGGACCCCGATCAACCGACGACTCGAGGAGGCGACGAATATCAGGGCTGGCCTCCAGGGGGTAGCTAATAATTGACTGTGTGAGTGGCCGCGGCAATGCGGTCAGCGCGCTCACGAGCAGTGCCTGTCGTAGCAGGCGTGGTCGGAGCTGCTGCCGCAGCGCCCGCTGCGCCTGGCGCGCCTGCGCCGCCTCCGCCTGGAACAGCTCCTTGCAGAAGAGGACCGCTCTTGCCCGCGGACAGGTCGACCGTGGCTGTCTGCGGAGTGCCTGGCGCAGGTGCCGTGCCTGGCTCCGCCTCGGCAGACGGCGGCTGGGCTGCACCTTCATCTCCTTCGGCAGGATCACCAGCATCAGGAGGTTCCTCGAAGGCCGCCTCCTGCTCCATTCGCGGCCGCTTGGCCGCCAGCCGCTTGATGTGCAGCGCGTGGGCGGACTTGAGGCCGTCGACCTTCTGCTTGGCCTCGGCGAAGAGGGTGCTGGCCATCGCCGTGAGCCCTGCCTTAAGCTGCTGCACGCGTGACTCGATCTCGATGTTGTCCGATTCGTCAAGCTCCACACCGTCACACTTGAACAAGTCCGATACGCTGATGTCAAAGACCTTCGCGAGACGCTCCTTATCCATGATGTCCTCCAATGCAAGCTTGACCGTCGACGTGGGTGGATGCTTAGCTGCCTCTTGAGACTCCACCAAGTCCTGCAAGAGTGTCGCGTGTTCACCTTCGGCATTGGTGAGCTCTGCACGCAGCTCCAGCACCACCGTCTTCTGATTGTTGAGCTGGGCTTCGTACTGTTCGTACTTCTCAACAGCCGACTCCAACCGCTTGTTGATGCCATGCACTTTCCAGTGAGCCCGATTGAGACGAACCTGAATAGCTTCTTCTGCTGGCTTCGGCGAGGTGAGGGCCTTGGCAGCACGACGATGGGCAGCCGCACCTGCAGAATCTCCCATACGCTCGGCGAAGCCTGCCATGGTCTCGTACTCAGCGGCTGTGAACTTTGCTGCAGCAGCGCCAGCAGGGGCGGGTTGCTGACCACCTCCCTGGGGGAAGCCGCCTCCAGCACCTTTCTGTCGCAGTCCTGCGTCACCACCGCCAGGTCCCTTGCCCCACGCAGCGCCACCGTTGAGCTGCCCGTAGCCGAACAACTGACGTGCTGCATCTCCAGACCATGCCGAGGAGGGGACTTGCTTGTAGGCTCCACAGTGCTTGCAATAATAGAAACGAACTGCATTCTTGGCGCACCCGCAAGCCTGGCACTTCCACCTCTTGCCTGGCTGCTGGTTGTCGTCCTGATCCAGCACACCGCCGCCGCCCTTGCCGAACAGAGGACCAGGCACCAGAGGAGGCCAGACATCGGAGTACGACACGCCTTTGCCTCCGCCTTTGGCCTTGCCCCACGCCATGCCGAGGGAGAGGCTGGATGGACTGACCACCGACCAGCGCACAGCTTAGTCGTGGTGAAAGCTGCGATGCGTGGGGCGGACCACGCACCGCTCTGCCTGGGGCGAACCAGGCGAAAGATGAAAGCTGGCCGCGGACTAGCGGTATCCACTTTGTTCCCAGGGGAAACCAAAACCTTGAGCCAAAATGGCTACGGAGAGGAGGAGGAGGAGGAAGAGGAGGAGGAGGAGGAGGAGGAGGAGGAGGAGGAGGAGGAGGAGGAGGAGGAGGAGGAGGGAGGAGGAGGGAGGAGGAAGGAGTTGGTGGGAGGAGGAGGAGGAGGAGGCGGAGGAGGAGCCTTGGCATCTGCTTCGACTTGGCTGTCCTCAGGTCTTCGAGCGTTTCGGCTCGACTCGCGGGGCCCCATGATCGCGCGTCTGCGTGCTGTTGCCTGAGGCTGGCGAGGCAGCGGAGTGGGGCGAGGCACGGCACCACGGGGCACAGCAAATCACGGCAGGGCGCGGCAGGGCAACGCAGCGCACAGCGAAGCAGAGCAGGCAACGGCGAAGCGCAACACGCGCAAGGCGACAGCAACACGAAGCGAAGCACGTCCCGGTGCAAGCAGGAGGGGCGCACCGGAATGCCGAACACGTCGGCGCGCCGCCCAGAAAACGAAAGTGTTCCGGAGCAGAGCAGCATCGCTATCCTGATGCGAGAGCGGCAGCGGCGTTCCTCTAGGCCTCTCAGAGAGGGTCCGAGTAGATGTTGTCGGAAGATCGCGCCGCATCGCCGATACATCGACGATGCGTCGGCGACGTTTACGATGCATTGGCGAAATGGGCGTGGGGGAAGTCGGGCTCCACATCGAGCCGCATCGCCGATGCATCGGCGACGCGGCGCGATCCTCCGACCCCATCTACTCTGAGCCTATGTGGGAGGCCTCTACTCCAGGTCGTCATGGAGAGCCTCGACGGCCTGTTCGCGGCGGCGGGAGGTGACGAGCTGGCTGCGGTGCCCGACTCGCAGCCACACCAGAGCGGCGACATGGAGGGGCAAGCGTCTTTTTTCTGTATGTATTTTTTGTTGTTTTCTCTCTCTCCCTCTCTAGATCGCGCGCGCCTTTCTCTTTCTTCGTTTGATGCATCTCTACACTTCTGTTTGTTATGTGCATATGCATATGCATTTGCATTTGCATTTGCATATGCATATGCATATCTCTGTCTGTCTTTCTGCCTGCCTGTCTGTCTGTCTGTCTGCCTGCCTGCCTGTCTGTCTGTCTGTCTGTCTGTGCGTCCGTCTGTGTTTGTATGTCTTTCTGTTTGTCTCACTGAGTGACTGTCTGTGTGTATATATATATATATATATATATATATATATATGTATATGTGTGTGTGTAAACATACATCTGCATGTATGTGTACCTCCCTCTCTCGCTGTCCTTCCCCCATGCGCTTCCGCTCTTTGTCTCTTGCTGCGCCTCGTTCAGTTTCCATCCCACTTTTCCCTCTTCGTTTTGGTTTGTCATAGTGCTCGTTCTGATTCAGATCGGCATTGCGTCTTCGCGCGACTGCATGAAGGCCTCCTGCTGCGCAGGATTGCCTCTTGGCGCGCCAGGTCTCTGGCTGCTCCTGCTTTCCCCCCCCCCTCTCTCTGTCTCCTTTGCCCCTCCCTGGCGTGGCTTACACCCCCGCGCGAAGTGGGCGTCTCCCCAGTCTGCCCCCCTCGCGAAGTGGAAGCCTCCCCAGGGAGGTTCCTCTGATCGGCGGCGAGCCTGGGGGGGAAGTGAGAAGGGGCGGGCCTGCTCAGAAGGCTCGGAAGCTCCCTGGCCTTCTGAGAAGTGTTCTGAGCCTTTCCCGAAGGCGCAGACAACTTCTCAGAAGCCGCGAGGGCTTCTGAGAATCCCCACTGATTTTGGATAGCGCCTTCCCCTTCTCACCTCTCCCCATCACTTGCCGCCCAGGTCTACCCCCCCGAGTGAATTGGAAGCCTCCCTGGGGAGCTTCCCTCCTCTGAACTATTCGTTCCCTCCGCTGGTGTCCAACAACTTGTTTTTCAGGGCGTCCCGCGCGCAGTCTACCGGGAACGTGACGGCATCGCCCCGAGGGGGAAGGGGGAGGGCGAGGCGGAGGAGGGGGTGGGCAGGGGATGGGAGCAGGACTCATTTCGATTCCTTCGACTCGGCTCGATTCGATTTCGAGCGCTTCCGATTCCGATTCCGATTCGACATCGGGTTCCGGTTTGGGCTCCGATTTCGTAATGAAGATCTACTAGCCTGCCGATTTCCGCCGATTCGACTTCTCCCGACTCGGCTGCCGATTTCCGCCGATCCGCTCCATTTCGATTGCCGATCCGACTCATCGATTCGATTCTGGGCTCGCCTGAATGGGAGGATGATGGGGAGCTCAGGAGGAGGATGAGGATGAGGCGGAGAAGGATGAGGAGGCGGAGGAGGCGGAGCATGAGGAGTACTATGGATGATAATACGACTACTGCGATTAATATTATTAATAGTAATAATACTACTAATAATAAACATAATAGTCATCATAATAATCACCATAATAATACTATTAATAATAATAATACTAATAATAATGATACTAATGATAATGATAATAATACTAATAATAATAATAATACTAATAATAATAATACGAATGATGTTAATAACACTAAGAATTCGAATGCTAGCAGCGATAAGCATACGAATGCTAATCGTACTCGTAGTCATACTTGTTGTACGCGTACCAGTGACCATACCAATATGAATGCTAGTAGTAAGAAGACTACGACACATACTAGTAATATGAGGAGGAGGAGGAGGGGGAGGAGGAGGAGGCGGAGGAGGAAGATGAAGAGGAGGAGAGGAGGGGAGGAGGAGGAGGAGGAGGAGGCGTAGGAGGAGGAGGAGGTGTAGAGGAGTGGAGGAGAGGAGGAGGCGGGGGAGGAAGATGAAGAGGAGAGGAGTGGAGGAGGAGGAGGAGGCGGAGGAGGCAGGAACAGAATAGGAGGGGGCGCAGAGGGAGCAGAAGGAGCAGCATGAGGAGGAGGAGGAGGAGGAGGAGGAGGAGGAGGAGGAGAGGAGGAGGTGGAGGAGGAGTAGGCGGAGGAGGGGGAGGAATAATAACTAGAAGGCTAAGAAGAATATCAAGATGAAGGACAACACGCATAATACTACTAATAATCATGATCCTGCCAATACTCATACTACGACGACCAATGTACCTAACACTAATAATAAGACAACGGCGACGGGTACGATTACTAACAATCCTATTGCTAACAATAATAAGACGACCACGAATACTTCGAGCACTACTAATACGAGCCGTACGACTAGCAATCGTAATACGACTAAGTCGAATAATAACCAACGTGGTACTGAGAGCTGGGCTAAGAACACTAATACTACTAAGACGAAGGTGCGTAGTACGATTATTAATATTATTAAAGGTGTTAAGAGGAATAGTACGGCTACCAATACTAATAGTAATCAACATAACGATACGACTAAGACTACTAATGATACGACGAAAACGAATCATACTCAGGCAAGTGGCAGTAGTGATGCTGCTAATAATAACAATACTGATGATGCTGATGATGCTGCTGCTGATGATGATGCTGCTGCTGCTGATGATGATGATGATGAGGATGCTGATGATGATGATGATGATGATGATGATGATGCTGATGATGATGATGATGATGATGCTGATGATGCTGATGATGGTGACGATGATTATGGTTGTTGTTGTTGCTGTTATTCATATCATTCTGGATCGTATTATAATAATGATTTGAATACTATGAGGAGGAGGATGAGGAGGAGGAGGGTGGGAGTGGGAGGAGGCGGAGCAGGAGGCGGAGGAGGAAGCGCAGGAGGACGTGGAGGAGGATGAGGATAATGAGGAGGAGGCGCAGAAGGAGGAGGGGGAGCAGAAGGAGCAGAAGGATCAATGAGAGGAGGACGATGAGGAGGATGAGGAGGAGAAGGAGGAGCATGAGGAGGCGGAGGAGGAATCATATGTATATACCTGTTGATTAAATAACAAGAAGAATAATCACACGAAACGAGTGATAATAGTCGTATTTGCAATCGTACCTTATCATCATACAAACGAACGGGAATCATAAGCATAGTATTATCAATATTAATACCAAAACGTCTAACGATGAGGCGAATACTTCCGCCGCTAAGAATACGGCGAACAATGCGAATAAAGAGTATACGCCATACTTACATGTTACAACGACTAAGATCCATATCAATAACACATACAACCATCACACTACTAAGTCTAGTATTAACATTCGGAATACTTTTTCAAATCATAATGCGAGTTATACCGAGACATAACAATGATAATATGAGGAGGAGGAGGAGGGCGGAGGAGGGGGAGGAGGGGGATGAGGAGGGAAGAGTAGGAGAGGGAGGAGAGGGAGGAGGAAGGAGGAGGAGGAAGGAGGCGGAAGAAAGGAGGAGGGATGATTGAGGAGGAGTACGAGAGGGGGGGCGAGGAGGAGGAGGAGGGAGGAGGAGGAGGAGAGGGGGGGGAGGAGGAGGAGGAGGGAGGAGGAGAGGGAAAGGAGGAGGCAGGGAGGAGGAGGAGGAGGAGGAGGAGGTGGGAGGACCAGAGGAGGAGTGGAGGGTGTCATGAGGAGGAGCATAGAAGGAAGGAGGAGGAGGGAGGAGGGAATAAAGGAGGAGGAGGAGGAGGAGGAGGAGGAGGAGGAGGAGGAGGAGGAGGAGGAGGAGTGTAGAAGACGTCTCTCCGCCGCGCGGGCGGCGAGGTGGTGCAGGCTGGCCTCATGGTCGTGGAGCCCTCGCCCCAGCGGTTCTCTGGGTAGCGGAAGCCACAGAGATGGACTCACGGTCGTGGGGCCCTCGCCCCAGCGGCTCTCAGGCTCTCAGGACTCCCAGGCATCCGGCCTCTTCCCCCCGCCCCGCTCTCCTCCTCCGCTTGCTCGGGGGCCCCCACACGGTGTGGTGACTACACCGTGTGGTGAGTTAGTGGGGATCGGGGACCACCGCACGGTTTTGGGACTCGGGTCGTTTTCCGAGGATGTCTCGGGCGACTGGGGCCTCCAGGGTTCCAAAACCATGCGGTGACGGACCGCCGGGGAGGTTCCTTGGGATTTCGAGGTCACCGCTCGATCTGTCATTACACGGTTCTTGGGACTCTCAAGCTGCTCTCCCCTCCCCTCCCATCGCCTCCCCTCCCCTCCCCTCCCCTCCCCACCCCGACCCCATCGAACTTCTGGGATAGAGGGCCACCAGGGCAAGGTGTGCAAGGAGGTCTGCTCGGGTCTTGACCTTGGATCGTCCTCGGGCCCCGGCCTAGCCAGCACCGCCCGCCTTCCGACCGGCCTCCTTCGGGTACAATCGAATCGACATGGGTACAGCAAGAATGGGCACGAAGACCGACAGCGGTTCATGCTCATTTGGGAGAGTACACGCTGTCGATGTCGCCGCGGACGTGGTCCACTTGAGACAGGCGGCCGGCTGCCCAGCAGCGGCCATTCGGTTTTTGACAACACCCGTTGCTTGACATCGTGCCCATCTTTTCCGTGACCATGTCGGACGTGCCAATCGAGGGGTTCCCTTGCTCCGAGCCAGCGCCACGAAGTCCTCCGCCCAACGCCCCCTCCCCTGCGCGCCACCCTGCGGCCCCGCCGTGGCGGCATCCGCATCTGCTGCAGGAAATGCCTCGCCTGCGAAGGTCCAGCCCGCCTGCCGATGAGCGGCGGGAGTTACCGACGCGCCGATGCCTGGGCTGACTCGTCTGATACAGGCGCTTGCGGCCGTGATCGCCGCACCGCGGCTCGCAGGCCACCTGCCCGGCACCCGCACTCGCCGCCGCACTGCATTCAGGTCCAGTTTCCCGTTCTGCCAGTGCTCCTCCGGAGGCTGCCGCTCAGCGGCACAGTAAAGGGTACTCACTAACGGGCACTACTTCTGGAACATTGCCGAAAGTTGCCACTGTAGGGCCTCTTTCTGGCATTGCAGCGTTGCCCACATCGGGGAGGACTGGGTTCGCCGGGTGACTGGCCAAAGTGCCCGTTGAGCCGCTGCTGTTGCTCCACGCTCTGGTTCACGGCATCGGCCTTGCGCAGTCGGTGCCCCCAATGCCAGAGGCACCCCATACGGCCTAAGGGGATCGACACAGGGCGGCGTTTGCGCTCCTGCTCGCGCTCGCCCGCTGGCGCTGGCCGCGGCGCGGTCTGAGGCGCCAGGCAGGTGGGCCGCGGCAGTCGCCGCCACTGCGCGCCCTGCTTCCGCGGCCTGCAGGGCCTCGCGTCCAGCATCCTCTGCCGGGCGCTGGCTCCTGCGGCAGGCGCCTCCCGAGGTGCGCGAGCCCTGCCGCGCCCGCGCCGGAGTTGTGCGTCTGGCTTCGCGGCCCGCCGGGCCTCGCGTCCAGCATTCACCTGCAGGGCGCCACGCCGCTGCAGCGGGCAGCACCCCCGCGCGTGCGCCGCGCGAGATTTCCCCCCCCGCACCCCCCCCCCCCCCCCCCGCCCCCCCCCCCCCCCCCCCCCTCCCCCTCCCCCGAACGGGCGGTCGAGCGGGGCATCTACTCTCGGCTGTCCCGCGGGCTGGTCGGCTTGCGTCTCGGGCCCCTGGCCCCCTTGGGCCGTTGGCCGTCTCTTGTCCTCCCACCTCGCTGGCTTCCTTCGGGCGGGGCGGAACGCGGGGCGAACAAAACATCTCCCTCCCCTTCCGCTTTCCCCATATCCACCCTCATCCCCCTCCCCTCTGCCACCCCCACCCCTCCTCATCCTCCCATCTTCCTCCTCATCCCTCCTCCTCCTCCTCCTCCTCCTCCTCTTTCTTCTCCTCCTCCTCCTCCTCCTCCTCCTCCTCCTCCTCCTCCTCCTGCGTGGGCTTGAGCCGACGGAGACCTTTCCCGTCGGTGCGTTTTGGGTTTCGGCCGCGCGCCCGACCCGAGCCCGCGCCCAGCTCCGTGCCCGCCTGCAGCGATAGGCAGGAGCGACTCTCCGCTCGCGCGTCTGCCCAGGAGCGGACTGAGCGCGGACGACAGTGACGGCATCGAGGAGCAGATCACCTGCGTGGCATCGGAGGCAGCGACGCCTTCGACATCGAGCACGACAGATACTGCGCCCTCCAGTCAGCCCGTCAACTGCTACTTCAGCACCACGGTTCGCAGCCGCCAATGGGCGGAACCCGAGGCGGACGTGGGCAACAGCGAGATGACACTCGCGAGCCGCGATGGTCGTGCGCAGCGACTCGGCAGTGCGGTTATACTCGCAATTTTGTTAATTCTGAGCGGTGCTAGATGTGTGGAAGGAACAAAGCTGGTCAACCTGACCCTGCAGGACCGCCAGACAGAGCCAGACGCCGCCCAACCTCTCGTGCACCTTCTTCTGGCAGGGGCACCAAATCCGACAAGGCCGACGACAAGGATAAGGACGTCTCTGAGGATTCTGCGGCCTCAGATGCAGTCACTCGGGCACGCAAGGCGGTCGCTGCTTTGCGTCGTCTTGGCCTTGATGAGAGCAGCCCACTCGTGGTGGCCGCGAAGCAGGAGCTCAGCACCGCAGGGACGGCTGAGAGAGCTAAGAGGACCCCAGACGATCTACTTCGACGGGCACTGGATCGTCAGGCTGCAAAAACTCGTGAGGTCACTACTTTGCAGATGGCCGTCGACAGGCTCAATGCAGATTGTGAGTCCAGATCTCAAGAGCTGGACGCGGCGACCGCAGATCTGGCCATCATTCACTCTGAGGTTACGTCAGCCCGTGCAGCAGTCCTCGCAGCAGGACGACAGCCAGTTCCAGAGGCCGAGCAAAACTTGGATGGAGCGTTGGAGCGACTCGAACAGATTGTGCGGGCGGCACCCTCCACCACGCCTGACAATGCAGAGGCCTTCTGTCAATCCTTGGGCACGCACATGGCGCAGCTGCAGTCCGCCCTTGTTCAGCATCGGCATGCGCATGCACCGGCTGGTCCTGCTCCGGTTACTCCACCCCCTTGGGAAAATCTTCAGGATCAGCAAGATGACGCCATGGGGGCAGGAGACGGGAGTTCGCCCAATCTACAACGATATGCCTCGGTTGTTCGGCGACGGCGTGATCCGCTCTTTCGACCCTCATCGAGATGACCGCGGAGATCGTGTTGTTGCTGGGCTCAATGACATTCAGGGGTCTGTCCCCAACACTTCCTCTTCCTCGTCGGGTTCTGGTGCGTGCATGAGCGGCAGGAGGCTATCAAGCATTCAGTCTCGAGGCCCTGAAGTGCCACTCTCTCCGATGCCTTTGGCAAGCGGTGGGGGGGGGGGCTATTGCCTGGGCAACGTGGAGACAATTTTGATATGCAGCGCGGCCGTAGTGCCCGCGACCCCCCCCCGCCTGGCGCCTTCGGCAGCTGGGCCCTCAAGGGTTAATGGGGGGGGGGGGGGGGGGGGGGGGGGGGGGGGGGGGGGGGGGGGGGGGGGGGGGGCGTCGTGTGGCCCCGCGGCGTGGCCCCAAGGGGTCCAAGCGCAAGCTGGTGATGATGGCGAGTTTCAACAGCTCTGGGTGGCCGCAGGCGCGAGACTTCCTCGACAACATGCGCCGCCTGTCCATCGTTGCTGCGCAGGAGCTCCACCTGTTCTCGAAGGGGAGGCAGCAGGCTGAAGAATGGTGCGTGCAGCGTGGATGGCAGCCGTTCATCACCGACGCCATCCTCTCTGATTTTGACAAGCCGCGTGCATGGGTCGGTCTCTTTGTACGCAAGAACATTGAGGTGGTCAGGCTATCAGCATGTCTGAGCTCTCATGTGGTGGTGCCTGCCTATAGCGTCGATGTGATAGTGAAGGCAGGACCGCGAGGTGGCTTTGTGGTTGCCTCGTCTTACTTGGAGCAGGGCCTCGAGCTCGGGGGTGCCAGCGCATCTCGTGCCTCTGGCTTGGGCGCCCGCCTCAGCTTCTACTCCCTGCCGTTCGTTGTCGCGGGCGACTGGAACGTGGGCCCCGACGCGATTGGCAAGTCAGGCCTCGCGACGAAGCTCGACGCGAGGACGGTCAGCGCGGCAGAGGGCACGCGCCGGGGCCCTGGCTCTGGCAACTACTCCAATATTGATTTCTGGCTGGCCAGCGACTGCTTAGCCGCGGCGATGGGCTCGCCGACCGTTTGCGGAGGGTACCCTGCGCGTGTGCATTACCCCATTCAGGTATCCCTAGGCCCGCGGCCGCGAGCGAGGCAAGTTCGGCGACTACTAGGACCTCAGGTACTACCAGTGGTGCCGAAGGCACAGCCTCAGCCAGATGAGGATGATGACGACGGTGAGTTCGTGTTCGCTGAACGTGGCGTGCCCGACGTAGCATGGGCGCAGCTGATGCGCAGTGATGCCAGCCATGGCGTGGGGCAGCTTCGGGATCATAGGCAGCGCCTTGATCGGCTCGTCGAGGATATTTACAACGGTGTGGAGGTGGAGCTTTTACCGCTTTTCGACGCGGGCGCGGATGCATCCAAGTTTGCTGGCCGTTCGGAAGGCCCGAGATATGCGTGCACCACTGCAGGAGGTGCCTGGGCACGGCAGCAACCGAGTGGCACGAGGCTAACGCGCGCACTTCGCACGTTGCAGCAGCGTGTTCACGACCTTCGGCACGCGTATCATCGTCATGATTCCGCTCTCTGCACGCGCACGTGGACACATCTAGTTGACTTCGTGGGTGGGCATGGGCGGGATGGTAGATTGCGCGCGGTCATGCCCGAGTACCTTGTGAACGACATAGTGCACATACTCACATGTATCGCAGCACAGCCGCCTGGGTATTATTGTTATATGCTGCAGTTCCTTGGCGATTGTTTCGGTCAGTCAGCCGAGTTAGAGGAG